ACACAAGAGACTGGCTCGGTTATTTTGTGTTAAAGAAATCTGCTAACCTCCTTCTCTTTTTCCCAGTCCCCTGGGGGTGTGTGTGCATTTTGAGTATATAGCATACCAAAAAGATTCTATACTGTAACATAATTGAGAAAGTAACTGATGCCCTGCCAGATGGACAAGAATAGCATATTCTAATATGGAGAATGACCTGCGATCTAGAATGTGCAAGGTTTGTTTCTACTTTTGCTCTGAAAAAAGCTTTTTAACAATCTGGATGAAGAATCCGTCCATAAAGGAACACAACAGATAGATCCTTTACATAGATTTCAACTTGCATTCAAGGCTCCATAGAAGCACTAGAATAATTATGGTTTAACCACTTACTTTAATGGGTCTGGCCCAAGACATTTGCTACCTAAAAGCAACTAATTCTCCCTGCCCTTGCCAAAGGTACATAATATCCAGATCAATCCAGTTGAGTTAGTACCTCTGTTTTTAAACAATCTACAAATAACTCTTTCCCTGCAGTAAGAAGACAACAATAAACAAACAACGCTATTGTTTTTCATGGCATCCAGTTTCATTTTGCCTTTGTGATGGGGAGCAAAATTTGTCTCTCTTTCTCTCCTGTTCCCCTTTACCGGAATCATCAGTAGACTAAATTAATTGTATTTTTAAACTTCTGGATTAGTTTTTAAATAATGAGATGTCATAGGAATGTTATATGTCTGGAGAGGGATAGTGAAGACATTGTCATTATTTTTCATATGTGTTTGATAGCTCTCTACCAATTGCATGTTTTGAATATCATTTGCATCCTCTCACACATTTTCTTTTGATGCTACTCTTGCAGGTAGAGGCAGAGAAACACCAAGATGTTGTGGTCTATGATCAGAGCACGAGGGATGTAAATGGGCTGGCAACCGACAGTTTCCTATCCATTCTTCTGGGCAAGCTGGATAGTTGCTTCCACAGTGTCTCCATCCTCACAGGTAAGATTTGGCAGCAGTTGGGGGGTGGGTGGGTGGGTGGCCTGAAAGTTTTCTCCAAACCCTGGAAAGGCAGAAGCTTGTGTTCATGTCAACTCAGACTTTGGTACAATGGCAGTAGAAAACTGCTTACCTTGCTATTTAATATGCTTTTGTGTAGGTAGGTAGGGCCATCCAATTTTGTAAAAAGTGAATTCTTAAAAACTTTCAATTGGTAGGAACACAAAAACAAGGAACTAGAAAATATAATGCAATAAACATCTAGAACAGAAAAAAAGAACAATGGGATAATTAAAAAAAAGAAGCAGAATTCACCCAGGCTAACCAATGTATATCAGAGTAGTCTTTCCATCTGGATGAGCTCTTCTTGCGTTCAAGTCCAATGCCTGGTGGCAAAGCCAGGTTTCCAGCACCTTATGGAGGCACTAAAGGGTCAAGGCCAACAAACAGGGAGATGGTTGTAACAGAGAAAGCACTATTGTGGATCCCACTATGTGACACTGTTTCATAGAAGGGGGTGAAACACAGCTTTCTGCCAGGTCTCATGGTCAAGCAGGTACAGTTGGAGGCAAGCGGTCCTGCAGAATCATTGAGTGCAGAATGAAATGAACAATATTACAGTGGTCCTTGTATAGTGACAGCCTTGTTTAGAGACTATTTGCAGCTATAACAATGATAAAAAGTAGCTTTGTGACCAATCCTCGCATGTATAAGTTTGGCAGGTCTATAGTTCAAAGAAAAGTTAAAGTAAAATCGTAAGCATAGTCATGGTGTCATTTAACAACCACTTCGCTTAAGTTGCCAGTCCCAGTTGTCATTACACAAGAGTTATCTGTATATGAATTTCCTGGTGTTCTTAGGACATCTTGGTTAATTTTATTCAGAGGGGAAGCATTGCTGGTCCAAATGATAGGGATAAGGGACAGAGAATAGTTGCATTTTATAATTTATACAGAACAAACCCTGACTATTTTATTTATATCCCACATTTGCTATTTTTTATAAACATGAAATGTGTTAAATCTGCATTGGTGGGCAAGAGTCTCAAAAACTGCCCTTTTTCCATATTGTTATTTCGTTCTGCGTTTATTTTCTTGCTTGTTGTCAGAAAGACAATGTTGTCTGAAGTGGAATGTGGCCACTAATAGTAGTTCATTCTGAAGCAGGGTGGGGAACCTTATTTTACCATAGTGACAGCTGCCGAGGTGATGTGGTATTATGTAAACAGGTTCTCTTGAAGAGGAATTGCATTAAAATTCCAGAGGAAAAGCTTTATGTTCTGCAAAGCCACAGGTTTTTTTTTAAAGTGATGGTTAACTGAGATTAAAGTGGGGATACATGATGATTTTTGAGTTCAAAGTATTTTAGTCAGTCTGAAGTTTAAATGGTGGAAAAATATGTGATGCTTTTTTTTTTCCCAGTGGTATGAAGTGTTCATATGGCAATATGTTTTGGATTTTTCTCTGCAAGCGCTATCAGTCTTGAAATCTGGATGTCTGGCCTGGGTCTGTGAAACTGATATGAGTGGAGGGTATCCTGCTTTCTTTTTTTACCACCTTTTGTTAAACAGGAATTAGTATTTATTCTGAAAAATAATCTGGAAAATAATCAGAGGTACAGCTTGTTTCATGAAGGGTTTTCTGATTGTAGCCGTTAATGACATTCACCCTTTTGTGCTTTGAAGTCTTTATTTCAATTGAATATTGCATTGCTGGAAATAATATATTACACTATCATATATGGTACTATATATATATATTATACTTATATACTAATACTCTTTTATATTATGCTCTATAATATAGTCATGCTATATATTATATACTATAATAATATATAATAGCATGAATATATTATAGAATATAATATAAAAGAGTATTAATATATATATATATATATATCTAAAGAATCACAACCGTGAGACCACCAGGAGATAAAAAACTATAATCAGTTTATTTACAATTTAAAAGCACCTAGCTTTCGCCGGCCTCCTGCCGGCTTCGTCAGGGTGGCTAACCATCAGTGGGTGGCTGTTTTTATGGGAGTGGTGCCTTTTGCACCCGGCTCCTCGATCTCGTGA